TGAGCCAAGGATTGGCCACAATATGGCCATTTAGGCAGCTGTTACCAGACGATCAGACAAAACCCATTGTTATTGTTGGACTATAACCCTAACGGTTGCAAAAGCTTACCAATAACATAAACAGTTGATTAATACATATTTTGTATGCTACATATATTATACACTGTAAGTGTATAATAGTAATGAAGTAAGCTAGAGAAAAGAAAATGTTACTAAGAAAATCATAAGGAAGAGAAAATATATTTACAGTACTGTACTATATTAGCATCACAAGTTTACATCATCTGTTTACAAGATGAATTGTCTCTACATCAACCGTCCTATATGATACAAAACATGGCAGATATTATACATATTAGTAAGAGTAAACATAAAAAATGAAAAGAGAAAGTGAAAAAGAAAGTCATGTTTTTTATAGGTATACTGATCTATGCATTGAAGCAGCAATATGGTTGCTCTGTGGTAACCTAGTGTAATTGATATGATTGCTTCACAGTAGCCTCACTTATACACTAATGAGTGAATTGTTGTAAAAATGTTATGGCATGCAGTATTACAATCATATTCATAATATAGTATTAGTAACAATGTTACAGTTTTTTAAAAACCACTTAACCTGTGATAATAGGGTGATATGCAGTTTCTCCAATTATGAGGAATTTATTTATTGTTTCGGGCTTGATGGCTTTCATGGCCTTTCTTACAACAATGATGGCATCTTCAATGGTGTCATCTTCCCAGACTTTCATGATGTTCTCTCTATTGGGGTTCCCTTCCATTATGTTGGCAAAGCTTTACAGACTGTCATGTATAATGACCTTAAAAATCTTTACGATCCCCTGATCTAGAGGCTGAATTAGAGACATTGTGTTTGGGGGCAAGTAGACCACTTCAGTACCTTTGTATTGAACTCATGGGGCTCTGCATAGCCAGGAGAATTTCCAGTATCATATGGCATTTCTTTAAAAGGCAGCCCCTTACCAGCAAGTATTTCCTGGCTCCAGGAACAAGGCATCAATGGAACCAATCCAGAAAAGGGTTCTTGTTGTCCAGGCCTTCTTGTTGTACAACCAAAAGACTGGTAGCTGATGTTTATCCTTCCTCCTTCAAGACTCAGGGGATAGTAGCTTTATAGATAAGGGCACTCCTCATTATAAGCTCAGCATTGGCATAAAACAGTAGAGCTAGCCTGTCCCTCCCTGTCTTAAATACTGGTGTTCACTCTTCCTCCTTACTAATAAATGTCCTTTGTGGCTTTTTTTCTTCCCCAAATAGGGCACTTTCATCTGCATGAAAAAAAAATCTGATCAGGTAGGTATCTTTTCTCATCAGTAATTTTGTTTTTAAGGATTTTACTAATTGTTTGACAGAGAGAGAGAGCAAGAACAGGGAACACCTGCAGGGAGAGTGGGAGAGGGAGAAGCAGGCTTCTTACAGAGCAGGGAGCCTGATGTGGGGCTCAATCCCAGGACCCTGGGATCATGACCTGAGCTGAAGGCAGATGTTTAACAATTGAGCCACCCAGGTGCCCCTCATCAGTGATTTTCTTAATGGCATCTAGGAACTCAGCTACTGCCTCTTGGTCAGCAAAAGCTGGTTCTCCTGTTATCCTGACATGTTTTAAGCCAAACCTCTTTCTAAAATCATCAAACCATCCTTTGTTGGCATTAAATTCTCCAGTTTTAGATCCTTTACCTTCCTTTTGCGCTAAGTTATTATGACTTTGCTTTTTCTCAAGTCATAGTAGAGTCTAGAGGTATGCCTTTTTTATAGAAATCCTGCACCCATATAAAAGCTGCATTTTCAATATGAGATAAAAAGGCATTTTGCAAAAAGTACAAGGTTTTTTGTACCTGCTGGCATAGCCACAGTGATGACTTTATGGATTTCCTTTTCTTTTTTTTTTTTACGATGGTCCTATGCTAGATTGATTTATCTTGAAATGGTGGGCAACCACTGCTACAGACTTCAGGTTATAGCACATATGAGGGAATTAAACTTTTTTTTTGTAATGTCAGGAATTTTTTCTGCTTCTTGGGAGCACTTTCAGCATCACTGGTAGCACTTTGTATGGGTCCATAGTGTTACTCTAGGTTTACAGTATTGCACTAAACACAATGAAAAATACACAAGAACCATGAGAGATCACTTTTTAAATGCAATACACAATTTACTGCAAAGACCAGCTGTTTACATGGAAATGATTGACATCACAGCACTTTAAGTAGATATTCCCAACACTGGAGTTCACTGCAATAGCAACAGAAGATGGCTATGAAATCATTACAGTAATATAGTATGCACTACTATATGTAATATAGTAATATAGTATAGTATATTACTACAGTAATAAACTATATAGTATATATACTGTATATCTATTTATATATTATATTATATATAAAACTATCAAAATCAAATATAAAATATAAAAATATAAATATTATTAATTTTATAAATTAATTCATTAATTAAATTATTTATTTTAATCATTATCTATTTAATATTTAAATAAATTAAATTAGTATTTTAAAATATTTTCATATTAATATTTAATATATTTAAAATATTTAATATTATTTTATATTAAATTGTTAAATTTATTAAATTTATTAAATTAAAAATATTAAATTAATGTCTAATATATTTAATATTTATTAATATTAATATTTGATATTTAAATTTCAATATTTGATATTTAAATTAATTAAATTGATATTTTACATTAATTAATTTGATTAATGATTTATTAATTGAATTATTTATTAACTCAATTTATGAATTAAATATTAAATATTAATATATCAAAATTAAAATATAAATATATTTTATATATGCTACAGTAATATAGTATATTATTGTATAGTAATACAGTAATATAGTATGCACTACTACTATTAATTTTTTACAGTTATGATTTAATATTGCATCTTTCCATTTGCTTATATTTCTCCTGACCATGAATGATTCCATGTAGAGTCTGTAAATTCTATGTGTGTGCATAAGTTTTGACAAATCTTAACTTTTCGTAAAAGATTTGTGTGTATTTTATGGCACTAAATGACATAATAGTCTAGTATATACATATATTTTATGTGTTGATGACACACCAAACTTTTTTCTTCTAAAGATTCACTTATTTAATTTGGAGAGAGAGAGCAGGCGCTCATGCACACATGTGCATATGTGCGGGAAGGGGCAGAGGGAGAGAATCTCCAAGGAGACCCCATGCGAAGAACAGAACCCAACACAGGGCTTGATCTCGTGACCCCATGAGATCACTACCGAAGCCAAACCAAGGGGTACGCCTAACCAACTGAGCCACATTTAAATGCCGATGAGAAAGATGTGAAAGAGAAAAAGAGCATGAGGACTAGGGAGGGAACAAATAATTGATAGTATCAGATTCCCAAGGCTTTGGGAGGATTGAGAGGTTCAGAGGACACATGGAGGGATTATCTTTAATCAGGAGGCATTGCTCCTCTTTGGGACATTTTAGTAGCATTCTATACACCAACACCGTCTTCTAATTTTTCTACAGTACTTCTGGTAATTGCCAGCTTCTTATTCCAGCTCTGCTTCCTATATAGCACCATAAATGTTGTCAGTTCTTCTAGGCTCACCCCGAGGCCTTCTTTGCTTCTCTCTCCAAACCTTCTCAGTGAACAATCTCATCCACTCCATGACTTCAATAGGCTGATAACTTTCCAATTTATACCCCACCCCAAAATTTCAGATCTGTACTTGGATCTAAATGCTCATCTTATAGAGCTCATCAATCACATTATTTTTATATTCAACCTCTTTGGGTATCTCTCAGTTACATCTGTTTCTTGGTAACTCCACTATTACAGGCTGAATTGTGTCCCTCTTAAAATTCTTATGTGGACATCCCAGCCCCCTGTACCTCAGGATGTAATCATATTTGGAAATAAGATCTTTGAAGAGATGCTTAAGTTAAAATAAGGCCCTTATCCAATATAACTGTTGTTCTTATAAAAAGAGGAAGATGGTTACCAGAAGGGAGGTATGCAGGGAGAAGGGTGAAATAAGGACGAAGATTAAGGAGTGCACTTGTGATGAGCACTGGGTGATATATGAAATTGTTGAGTCACTATGTTGTATACCTAAAACTAATATAACATATTATATTATGTTATATGTTATTATGTTATAATATGTTAACTACACTGAAACTAAAATTAAATTAAATAATTTAATTTAATTTAATTTTAAAAAACAGAGGAAGAGACACCAGGGGTCCATGTGCAGAGAGAAGACCATGTGAAGAGGCAGCAAGAGGGTGGCATCCACACACCAACCAGAGAGACCTGGAACAGATCCTTCCATTATGTCCCTCAGAAGGATGCCAACCCTGTTGACACCTCAATCTTGGATTTACCAGCCTGCAGAACTGAGAAATCTCTGTTGTTTAAGCCAACCACTGTGTGGTACATTTTTATGATAGCCTTAGCAAACTAATGCACAAACCCTCTTTACTACTCTAGGCCATCATCATCTTTCATCTACATTTCTAGAGCCACTTCCTAAATTATATTCTCTTTTCTAGTTAATCCTCTCTAAAATAATCTCTGTGTAATACTCAGAGTAATCTTTTCATGCATATGTGACTATGTGACCCACTCTCATTCCACCATTCTCCCCACTAACCTCACAATAAAATTCAATCTTCTAAAAAGTCATAGCAGACTTTGAGATAAAAAATATGAAAACTCACCCAAAGACCCATAGCTTTTTGATGCCAAAGCGTATGATAGAGTACATGGTTCCTCAAGAGGCTCAGAGTCAAAAGTGGGAAGGGAGTGTGCAAACAAAAGTTTGCCTAACATGGTGTCCCTTTATTCCCCACTATGGAGGGAATATAGGGAAGGATTAGGCACACAGACTCATTAAGCCAGGCTGCCCTGCATCCCCTATTTCCTCCGTAACCCTGGGCTTACTGTGATGTCACCCAAGACTAGCTCTGCCATGCATTTGTGATGGTCCCAACTGAAGCAGCTGCAGCTAGCCCTTTATCAGCTTTGGTTAAATGCATAGGTTGGGCAATTCTGGACTGGGATGAAAAGAAGATGCTCCAGCTTCTAATTCCACTGCTTATGGTGCTCAAAGGACATGCCCTGGAAGAGCCAGGTCTGTGCCAGGCTAACCCAGGGCAGAGGATAGAAAGAGGCCTACAACCTCTTACCTGATTCCTGTAGACTTGATTCAGAGTCCTGAGGGGATGATGTGTTAGAGGAAATGGCTCAGGAAATGAGGAGATTACAACTGATTAATCAATGTAGATGTTTTGGGCTTAGTGAACATGCCACTTAAAATGATACCCCAGGGTCTGGACCCAGAGTTCTGGAAATACAGGGGACTTGGAGCAAGAGTTTAGCAAATTGCCTCTGCTTCTCCAGTCTTAAGTCTCCACTGACTTTATAAAAAGTCTTTATAAAAAGTCTCTACTCCCTTCTTTATAAATGTATTAAGGATCTTTCTAGGCCCAACACTCTGGGACAAGTAACAGAGTTGTGGTGGAATAAAGACCTCATTAATTTAGACCACCTGTATGAGATTATGTAACCTCATAAAGTGGGAAAAGTTATAGGACTATTATAGGAGCAAATGAATTAATGCAGCATTTTCAAGTATGTTCAATAGAATTCCTGTCCTGTTAGAAAAGTCCTCATGGCTAAATAAGATTTTTAAAATGTTCTATTTCATACTTTTTCTGTAGAGTCACAGTGAATATTCACATATTAACGGTTTTGGGAAATCTTAATGTGAAGAAAATAGTTTAATTTTATTTAATCTGATATTTCTTAAATATATCTGGTCACAAGACCACCTTTTACCCCCTTATTTGTAGAATTTTTTTTAGTTGTAACATTTTCCATTTATCCTTTATCCTTTCCATTTATTCATTATCCAGAATTACCAGTTCCTATAACTTTCTCATTTTTCCTATTTGAATGGGTGTTGTTAATTGGTTTGTAGGACCTTTTTTTAATTTTAATGACATTAACCCTTTGTCTCTTATGTGTGTTGCAAAATCTTTTCTCCTAATTTTTTTTAACACTCTTAAAAGTCTATTTTGGACCAAATGTAAAAATTTTAAATTTATGTAAAAAATTCATCAGTATTTTTATTTGATGTACTAGAAGGACCTTTTCATCCCAGGTTATAAACACAATCAGACCTGTAGCAGCATAATGAGTTCTGAAGTTAGACTGACAGCAATTAATTACATTTCCTTCACATACTTGCTATGTAATCTCGGAATAAGTTAGTAAATATCTCTGTATTTGTTTTCTTACCTGTAAAATGGCAATATTAGAGTTTTTGTGAAGATTACATATGCCTAAATCTCTGAGAACAATGCCAGACACTTTGCAGGTACTGAAAATTTGTTAGCTCTCATTATTCCAGAATTTAAATGATTTTATATCTTAAATTAACATTTTTCCCATCCCAGGCTGATAAAGATGTTTCCCTATGTTATTTTCTAGAAGTTTTATTTTTCATCTTTTACATTTAGATATGCAATTTGGTTTTAAATTTTATGTACAATACAAGGTAGAATTCAAGACTAATTTTTTTTTAAAGAAAGTAATCTACAAAGGAACCCTCATTTGGCTATCTTCAGATTTCCCAGCAGAAAATCTACAGGCCAGGAGATTGGAATGACATGTTCAAAGTGTTGAAAGATAAAACTCGCAAGCCAAGAATACTTTATCCAGCCAGGTATCCTTCAGATATGAAAGATAAATAAAGCCTTTTCCAGATAAACAAGAGCTCAGGGAATTCACCACCACTTCATCTGCCTTGCAAGAAATGCTGGAAGGAGTTCTTCAGGTTGAAATGAAAAAAAAAAAAAAAACCTTATTAGTGACATAAAAGCAAATGAAAGTACACACTACTCTAGCAAAGGTGAAAAATAAATAGAATTAAAAAACTGGAACTCTATATTAAAATGCTGGGTTAATCAATTACATTATAAAGGTTAAAGGAAAGGAACATTAAAATAACTATAGCTACTATAATTTTTCAATGAAATTTTCAATGAATTTACCTTTCAATGAAAGGTAAATTGTCTATGGACTCTGAAAAACAATCTGAGGGGTTTGAAGCAGCGGGGGGTGGGAGGTTGGGGGAACCAGGTGGTGGGTATTAGAGAGGGCGCGGATTGCATGGAGCACTGGGTGTGGTGCAAAAACAAGGAATACTGTTATGCTGAAAATTAAAAAAAAAAAAAAAAGAAAGGTAAATTGTGACATGAAAAATATAAAAGCAAAGGAGTAAAAGTGGAAGTTTATAGGCAAATGAAGATTAGGTGCTATGTGCATAAAAAGGACTATTTTATATATGAGATGTTTTATGTAAGCCACATGGTAACCACAAACTAAAAACCTAGAGAAGAGCCACAAAACATAAAAGGGGAGAGTAAATCACCATGGAAAACCACCACTTTATAAAAGAAGACAGAAACAGAGGGAAAAAGAAACAATGGAGATACAAAACAACCAGAAGACAAATAATATGATGGCAGTAGTATGCCTTAACATACCAATATTCACTCTAAATATAAATGAATCAAATTTACCAATAGGAAGACACAGAATATTCTGGGTGGATTAAAACAAAAACAAAAACAAACAAACAAACAAAAACGAGAACCAACTACATGCTGCCTACAGGAAACTCATTTTAGCTCTAAAGACACACCTAGGCTCAATGTAGAGGGATAGAAAAAGATACTTCATGCATGTGGAAAACAAAAGAAAAATGAAGGTAGCCATACTTACATCAGATAAAATAGACTTTATGCTAAAAAAGACAGCAAGAGATGCAGAAGATCATTATATTATGATTAAAAAGTCAATATATCAAGAAGATATAACAATAGTAAATATATATGTACCCAACATTGCAGCAGTGGAATATATTAAACAAATACTAATGGATTTGAAGACAGAAATAGAAAAAAATATAATAATAGTAGTAGTATATCTCATTAACTCATTGTCAACAATGGCTAGGACATCCAGAAAAAAATCAAAAGAAAATATTGGAATTGAATCATAATCCAGAACAAATGAACTTAATAAACATGTATAGACATTCTAACAAACAGCAGGAGAATATTCTTCTGGAGTGCACAGGTAACATTCTTGAGGATAGATTGTATGATATGGCACAAACGAAAAAAATCTTAGAAGTTTGAAGAGCACTGAAATCATATCAACTATCTTTTCTGACAACAATGGAATGAAGTTAGAAATGAAGAAGGGAAAAGCTGAAAAATCTATAAGTATGTGTAACCTAAACAACAGACTTCTGAACAACCAATGGGTCAAAGAAGAAATCAAAAGAGACATTTTACAGGGTGGCTTAGTTGGTTAAGAGACTGCCTTCAGCTCAGGTCGTGATCCTGAAGTCCAGGATCAAGTCCCCCATTGGGCTCCCTGCTCATAAGGGAGTGTGTGTCACCCTCTGATCTTTCCCCCTTTCATCCTCTCTCTCTCTCTCTCATTCTCTCTTTCAAATAGATAAATAAAATCTTTAAAAAGAGAGAGAAAGAGAGAGACATTTTACAAATATCTCAAAACAAATGAAAATGTAAATGCAGTGTATCAAAAATTATGTGATGGCACCTGGGTGGCTTAGTGGGTTAAGCTTCTGCCTCCAGCTCAGGTCATGATCTCAGGGTCCTGGGATCAAGCCCCACTTCGGGCTCTCTGCTCAGTGGAGAGCCTGCTTCCCTCCCCCCCACCCCCGTCTGCTTCTCTTCCTCATGATTTCTCTCTCTGTGTCTGTCAAATAAATAAATAAAATTTAAAAAAAATTATGTGATGGGGCAAAAGTAATTGAGAGGAAAGTTTATAATGATAAATGGATATATTAAGAAATTAGAATGATCTCAAATAAACAACCTATATTTATACTTCAGGGAACTTAAAAAAGAAGAACAAATCAAGCCCATAGTTAGCAGAAGGAAAGAAATAATAAAGATCAGAGTGAAGATAAGTGAAATAGAAATCAGAAAAACAATACAAAGTGTCAACAAAACTAAAAGTCAGGTTTTTTTGAAAGGATTTATTTACTTATTTGAGAGACACAGCAAGAGAGGGAATACAAGCAGGGGGCGTGAGAGAGGGAGAAGCAGGCTTCCCACCAAGAGCCAATGTGGGGCTCGATCACAGGACCCCAGGATCATGACCTGAGCTGAAGGCAGACACCCAAAGACTGAGCCACCCAGGCACCCCAAAAGTCAGTTTTTTTTAAAAAGGTAAACAAAATTTACAAATCTTTAGCTAGACTAAGAAAAAAAAAAGACTCAAATAATAAAATTAGAAATGAAAAAAGACATGACAACTTATACTACAAAAATACATAGGTTCATAAAAATTATATGGCAACAGATTAGATAACCTAGAAAATTGGACATATTCCTAGTACATAAAACTTACCAAACTGAATCATGGAGAAATAGAAAATCTGAGAAGACAAATAATGAGTAAGAACATTGAATCAGGAGAGGAGTGCAAGATGGTGGATGATTAGAGGATCTTATTTCAACCGGTCCCCCGAATTGAGCTGGATATCTACCAGACCACATTGAACACCCACAAAATTAGCCTGAGATGTAAGAAGATATATCTGGATCTATACCAACAGAATATCTCTGGCAGCTGGTTTTGAGGTGTGAAGTGTGGAGCCGTGATTCTGCTGGCAGATATTGGAAGATAAACAGAAGGGGATGGGAGCCTCTGAGATCCTGCACCACCAGAGCACAAAAGCCTCCTGTGCTGGGGACCAGGCACAGACTTGCAGACCAGTAGCAGCAGGGGAAGGACTTTAGGGCAGCCCCCAGACTAAAATCCTGAGCTGTGGGGGCACATATGCAAACTGAGGGTGGCTGGCAGTTTTAGAAGCACAAAGGGCAGAGACATGCCTGGACCTGAAGTGAGGGCTGGGAGTGCTGCTGTGGGGAGCACAACACAGAATGCTGTGGTTTTTAGGAGGAGAGACAAAAATGGAGACAATGTGGCCTGGAGGGTTCTCTGGTGGAGAACAGACTGGGATCGCTCTGTTCTGAGACAGAAGTTTGGATACGGGTCACTCCTGTTTTGACTCTCAGAAGGGAT